GGGACAGCGAAATTTGCGAATTTTAGTTACCGCCAGTTTCAACCGCCTGCGATGCGCGGACATCGTCCCAAGCGGGAGAACACCAGGGGCGACAGAGATAGATCGATAATGTCTCAGTCCCGCATTCGATGGCCACGCGTTGGACGGCCAGGAACCACGCACAACAGACACCTGAAAGTTCGTTCGATAATACAGAGAGGCGTTGGTTGACGTATTCAACTGGTCACCGGCGAGTCAAGTTTGAACGCCGCGTCATCCAATGCCCCAAAATTCAGACAGCGAAGCCAGTTGGAAAAGCTCGGACTGCCCAGAAGGCTGGTACGAGTAGACAATCGGAATGCTGATGTACCATTCCTCCGGGAAGCCGATCGTCGAATGGGCGAAAATATCGGGAATTATTGAGACTCCAGGACCGCTTGACGGTCGGTCGCTGCCAGGTCGAGAACACACAAGTAAAAAGGTCTCCCCTCCAGGGTGAAAGCGAAAGGACAACGAGGATAGGTCTTTACTGTCGCCAGCGCCAGCGCCCTGGGCCTCGTCCAAGATCGGGACAACTACACTTCGGCCGTTGTTTGCCTCTAGGTTATCAGATCGCTAGTCGTACGACACAGATGAGGTCGTGCTGGGAAGCCGATAGAACGTGGAGGAGAATGTAAGAAGAAGATGCGGGAAGAAACGCAGCGACCGGGACGACGAAATTGGCGCAAGGAAGTGTCGGCGAGCGATGTCCTTTCCTGTCCTTCCGGAACCCGCCAGATTCGTGTTGCCGTAGCTCTATTGGCGGGTATTCTGGACGAGGATTGGTGAGAGGCCGTTTTGCTACACGGCCAGGGGACCCGAGGCGTGTACAGTCCCAAGTCCAGCGGAATCACATTTGCGCAGTGGTGGCGGAGATGAAGGGCAATTTCAGACTCCGCTGCTCGGCTCGTTCGGCTTGTTGAACTTTTTTCGCAAGTCCTGAACGACCTGGACGTAATAATTAGGAATGTCCCGACGAGGGAGCGGGTATAGAGCAAACACCAATATCCTTTTTATCTATTCAGGAACCTGACAGATGTCCCTTCTCGCAAACGCAACACTGGCGGGTAGATGCAGCCGGGCTCCTCGGTCTTGTACTCTTACCAAGAAGATGGGTCGTTGTTATAGATGATTTTATTTTGGTATGGGATGTTGCTCTCCTGTCGTCCAAACACATAAGAAAGTTCTCGTTCCGTGTCGTTCCCGCAGCGGTATCATGCTAACCTCTTTCCAGAGGTCAAATCTACGCGGGCTGCCCAATCAAATTCAACTAAGGATCGCTTCAACTTATGTATATCGTCCAACCACGCTACATACTGGATTTGGAATGATTGATTGAACTTGTTGACCGCAGGTTCCAGACTGTGTAGATGGACCAGGGTACCTGTTCGAATTGAACTGCAATAACAAGAACATCCATCTTTCCTCTTTCCAGAGACGTTTGCGGTCGGTACACGGGAGCCTGGCGGTAAGCGCGAAAACGGCGCTTTCGGTTAAAGCCTGGTTTAATTTCGTTCCTTTCTCAGCACCCGAACTGAATTTCATGTACTGTAGGTCTGGGGACTGGTAATCAGTCGAGCCTTGAGACTAGAGGAGCGATGGCACGGCGCCGCAAGACGCGTGCAGCAGTTCCAGCTTTCTCCCAGTCTTACCCAAGTATTTTCTTGTGAACCCCAATGCGGACCTGCGCAGACATAAGACATCCCGGCACCAGACCAGACTAGACCCTCAGCGTCCGTCTTGAAATCAATCTATGACCGACCTTGACTCTATGCGGTAACGCTGCAGACATGGACGCGGCGTTATATTATATTGTAGCGGCTTGACGGATCCGTCGAGCGCGTAAATGGATATTGAATTTCGACTCGTTCCTTCCACGCATCGGTGGATTCATACCTACGCGACGCGCCCTGCAACAGTGTAGTAAGTGCTTATTCTTGTCAGGAACTTATATATAATTTGAACTAGCACTGGCTTACTACACTCAACGGACAGCGGGCGGGGTCGGGGGCGGGCGGGGTGGAGCGTGGCGCCGCGTTGGCATCGGACCATCGGTTTGACGTTAGAGAAACAGAGCTTTTAGACCACTGTCCTGGCGGTACTGGGGGGTTCGGTGAGTCCTAATCATGGTCTTGGGAGCCAAAGAGCAGGCCAGACAGAAACGTGGGATTTCGTGAAAGCGCTTGACCTTGAAGATATAATTCGGGTTTGGCGGTGAGTCTGTGCTTGGAATGTGAAGCGGACGGAGACCTAGCTGATCACATCCCTGAGGCAGGTGGGGCGCCGCGCGTTGTCCTGGGATCCAGAAGCCCGAGGTCCGAGTTTGATAGAGAAAAAACGGACAGATGGCGCCGACTGTGGTTGATTATTTTGGAGTGCGGCGGATCTTGAGCACAGAAGACCGATTCGGGCGCAGCGAGTCGCTTATCATACTGAGCCAGATGGACGTAGAATGCAGTATATTTGTACTCTACCTCCCGAGTGAGCTAATTATTGTATATCTGCCGTCTGTCGGACAAGCTCGTGTGATTGAAGAGGAGGAATTCGAATGGGAATGGGACTTGCAGAAGATGCAGTCTTTGTCTTCGTCTTCGTGTCTTCGCCGACAGACCGGGGCGATCCGCGTGGCGTAAGCTCGAGGGTGGCTTGAACGACGATCCAGGGTTTGAACGAATTTGAACCAGACGCATGGCGATTGTCAAACCTATCTAGGCGCTCAGCGGCATTACCCATTAACACCAGCCACCTATCCCGCGATGGTCACCGTGATTGCAGCTGACTTGTTTTGGAGTTCTGCGCCTGCGCACTGGGCCCATCCTCGCCTCGGATTTCGATTAGGCATCTTGCAATGTCGGCCCGATGTCCAGGATGTCCAGTTGAACTGCGGTTTAGCGTAGACCGAGAGCCTCGACGTGCACTGCTTGCAAGTCATGGAATCGCGAAAATAATCGTGCCGCGCGGCAGCCTTGACACGAATTCAATTCGGGCAAGCCTACACGAGCTGAGGACCCCAATCTCGGGTCGATCCCGCAGAGGCGCCCACGGATAGCATTATACCTGATATGGGAGGCCCAATGAACCTGTTGGATGATGAGGAAGAAGACAACAGTGTGCCATACCGACCAACTTGAAGTCGACTCCTACAAAGGCAAATGTATCATCGAGTTTAGGCTTCGAATGATACATGCAGCTCACCGTAATATGCGTCGTAACGATGACATTGTTCTGCGGCTGCCAAAGGTCGAACGGTGGACATGGATGGTGAGAGAAACGTTGAAAGATGGATGTGCGTATGCCGTGATATAATTCCCACGGTTTAACGGCAACAACTTCAACAAGGAATATTTCGCGGGATGTTGACACCGTTTTCCTGGCCATTTCTGAGGCGTGGTTTAGTTACGAACGATAGGACGCGGAGCGTCGATGTCTGAAAACAAACATGATAAGGTCAAACACGGTTTCGAGATTACTTCCGCGACGCGTCGACGATGAACGTTTGTTCCCTGGTTGCAGTTCAAGTCAGAGGTATATCCTGGTCCATATGCTCTGTCTGCAACGTGGGGTCGATAAATTCAATGGCTAGCCAATCGCACGGCTGTCCGCGTCGAAAGACCTCAAGATCAACGAATTATAACGTGGTTCGGGACATACATGCCCCGCAGTGTTACCAGAACGGGAAAATAGACGTTCGGCCAAGGACAGCGGTAGACTTGGCGGAATTATAACGTGGTTCAGACCCGGAACATACAATTCCCGCCAGAGCAAGCATGGCTGGAAAGTAGCCGAGATTTGGGCCGGGCAGGACGAGCAGCAAGGACAACACAGACCTTCGGGCATAATTCAACGACTGGCAGGGCGAGGCTCGGACTGGATTAAATGGGTAAGTTGAATAATCAAATTCCATCAAGCGCGTCCAACACACGCAGGAACCTGAACTCACACATTGGCAGGGATTCCAACTAGATAACCTCGCGGACCAACGACGATCCGCAGGGGGTTCGATTATCGAGCTTGAATCCGACTGTTTCTCCTTCCAATCTTCCCTTCTCTTCCCTTCAGCCAAGCCCGCGATAACGGGATAACGGGAGCACCTGCGCGGAAATCAATTCAGAGTCGTCATGCAAATCTAATGCCGCACCAGTAGACTTGAACGAACAGTAGATGGATACGCACGGGGAAAGTCGGGGAGTAGCGCACACCTTCCGTATCATTCCAACCTGCACCCAAGCTAAAGTGACCTTGAGCAGGGTTTATGGTGTGCGAAGCGATGGAAGGGCAGCCTGCAGCATGTGGTGGACAAACAAACAAGACGAAGAGGCACGCAGACGGAGGGCACGAAGATAAAAACGCGACCAGAAGCCCGGGAATGGAGCACAACCAAGATCGGGGGCGCGATGGGCGGCCCATAACCACTGGCACAATTAAATTAAGTGACCGCGAAGTGCGAGGCTCCCGGGGAACGTCACGAAGCAGCCGCGGTCCATATGGCGTGCGAAGGGATGCATGCGCGGAAGACGAGGCACTTGTGCGCTGTGCACGTAAGGGCGCCGCGGCGTCCGTCGTTCGTCGTCGTCAGAAGCGACCCTCGTACGTCCTCGTCCTCGCCAGCGTTCATCTCCGAGCCAAGTCAAGCGATAAAGCGTCCGAAACGAGCGGCAGGCGCCAACTTTAACGCCTGCCAATCGTGCCTTGACTTTTGGCGGCCTGAGGGAAGTCGTGGTTCAGAGCAAAGAAGAAAACACTGCCACCGGGAAGTTCCGGTTGTTTTCAACCAGAGCCCATTTTGGTTCAGCGGTCGTTGTTGGCGTGTTCAACGGCCATTGGACCATTATTATATGGTAGTATCGTGTGTGCCCCGCCCGTATCGATGCTGGTTTGCCTCCCCGATGTGTCTGATCCACTTTGTTCAATTTTTTTCCTAGGTTTATGCCTCCCAATTCCAATATCTCGTCACATTCAGGGGAAGAACAGAGTGAATTGAGGACCCAATGGCATAACGGTTAATGCACCTGCTCCGATTAGTAGGTCTTGTAGTTTCCGCAGGAGATCCTCGTTCGACTCGAGGTTGGGTCATATCCAAGTCTCGTTAGCCTTTTTTTATTCCTTCCTTCCTTCAACCTCCCCCTTCTCCTCGTCCAGAGGTCCAGCAGCCTTTCAGTGCACCTGATTCATCTAGCAAGGACTTGGGAGGTGGTTGAATTTTATGAGGAGCTCTCGGCAGTGGTTCAAACTCTGGCAGGTGGTTGAAAAACCCAGAGCTCTCTTATTCCCCTCCGAGTCATTCCAATCCCATCTCCTCACACACTCACACAAAAAGCATGGACCCAATGGCATAATGGTTAATGCACCTGCTCCAATTAATGTTGGTTGAAATGAGTGATTTCAGCAGGACATCCTTGTTCGATTCGAGGTTGGGTCATTGTCTATTGAGAACCAGGTTTTTTTTCCTTCGTCCTTCGGGGTTTAATTTCCGCTTCCCTCACCGAGCGACGTCGACTCGGACCCAATGTACCTGAATACTTCACAGAAATGCTCGCATTATCAGCGTTTCAACTTTTCAACATCCCGCGGGGGCGAATCCTCCGGACGGCTACGATTCTTCTTCTCCGCCGAACTAGTCAATTCACTTCAATGCATTCCTCTTCCCCACTTATCTACGTCTACACATCTACACTACACATTCAAAACAAAACAGCAAATTCAAAGCACTTCAACAACATCTCGACTTCACACCAACAAAGCAACATAACGACAAGAAACCACTACCTCGTACCCACTGTACCCACCAAAAAAGACACAAGAACGAAAACACAGGGAACAAAAAAAAAGGTAACTTATCGACGTAGTAAATAGAGTTGAGCAAGTAGGCAGCGTTAATATGTAGTAGTGTGTAGGTGGGAGGGTAGAGGGTAGAGTTATAAGTGGAATAGATAACGAGCCGTGAGCTTGAGACGAGCGAGTAAGCGAGATAATAAACTTGAGCGACGAGTAGAGGAGATTGAGGAGACGGAGACGGACGAGACGGATGGGAGGTAAAGGTGAAGGGAGGAGGAGGAGTAAGGAGGAGGCAGAGAGTGGTATCATATGTACAGGTATTGAGTTTCGTTCCATTCGATTCGCGCCGACCGTCGGAGGCAGCAGCAGCATAAAATGTTTTGAGTTCGAGTCCTCCCCACCCTCGCTTTATACGGCAAAGGCAGAGTAGAGGTAGGAGACGCTACACGCGCACACCACCACCCCCCGCATCCCTAACCGCCGACGCCAGCCTTGGATCGCGCGTCCTTCCCCCGCTTACGACGATGGGGACGGGCACCGGGGGTAGCACTCGAAGAGGCGGAGGAGGCGATGGTGATGGATACTGAGTTCGCGCTCGTCGAGGTGTTGGAGGGAATGGAGGTCGAGGCGTTGGTGTTGGCGGAGGTAGCCGAGAAATCCCCACCCACCGCGCCCGCGAGCGTCGACGACGACGACGGCGCGCTCGTGCCCATCGTGCTCGTCCCCATTGTACTCGTGCTCGTGGTAGAGTCGTTAACCGCGACTACCCAAAGAAAAAGACGCCATCAGCCTCGCGCAAAGAAGGAAAAGAAAAACGCGACTGACCTTCCCCCTCGGTCGGCTGCTGCACCGAGCCACTCCCACTGCCACTAGCAACCGCGTTCTCCCCCTCACTCGTTGTCGCAGTAGCCGTAGTGGTCCCAGCAGTAGCAGTGGAAGAAACAGTCGTAGCCTCCCCCGTCTTCTTCTTCCTCATCCCCCTCCGACTCTCCGCCGGATACTCGCACTTGAGCGCGCGGCGCTGGCATTGGCTGTAAAGACAAGTGTGGTTAGCATCGTTATCTTTTCTCTCCAGGAACAAAAATAAGACGAGAGGAGGACAAGTAAAGGCAAGGTGAATCGAAAGGCGAGGAGGAAGGACAAGCAGCTTTTCGCCAACAGAGAACGAAAAGCCAAGGGGTAGAATAAAATAAACGGAAATGAAATGAATGCCGCTGGACAAGAGGAACCGAGCGCGGCTAGAAGTCCGACGAGGCATTTACGCGCTCCCGCCTTCAGTGTCAGAGACGACACAACGACGACACGGAAGGGGAACCAGAACCAGAAGCGGAAATGGAACTGAAAGCCGCCCGCCGTCGAGGCATTTGTGCCCCGCCCGGCCAACCAAGTACGTCTTGCGCGGGGAAGACGTAAAGCGTCGCCGGGCTCGTCTCGGTCGTCTCGGTCGTCTGAATGCACACCGCAAGACGCAAGACGCGAAAAAGCAATGGCCAGCAGCGTAAACGCGAAGGCGCGAAACAGCTGGCTCGAAAGGATGGATCGAACGACGCGAAAAATGAAATGAAATAAAGGAAGGCACCCCAATCCCGCCCAATCCCCAAAACGCACTAGTCCAGGTAAGGCAAACAGCGCAAGGCAAGGCACCCGAACACGCCTGTCGCCCACTCGCTCGCCCCGGCAACGCGCGAAGCGGGGGAAGGCGCCCTATTACGTTTTGGGGGTTTTGGGGGTGTGAAGGAAAGGATGGGGATGGGTGAAAGAAAAAGGGTGAAGGTGCAGGGTGAAGAAAGGTGCGTGAAGAGGAGGAGGATGGCGCAGTGAACGGTGGTGTGAATGAATCCCCCGCGCGCGTGAAAATGAAGTGAAGTCAAGCGAAGGAACGTAAAAGCGCCCGACGCAAAGGCCAAGTGCATGAAAAGCAAATCGAATGGCGCCAGATCGCTGGGCGTGCTAGGGCGCCGGCGAGCAAAAGTGAAGTGAAGGAAGAGATAGTGCGGGGGCAAAGGGGTAAAGACACCGGCAGGCAGCTCGCGAGCGAGCCACTCTACCTCGCACGATCGCGATGCCGAGGCTAACGAAGTGCACTGCGAGAGTAAAGCGCCCGATGCGCGCGACCCCACCAACGCAAAATCGCGACGAGGCGCGCCAGATCGCTGGGCTCGCTCACAAGGAACCCAAGGGACCGCAATCAAAGATAGCGCTGCTCGCGACGAACACAGCGCGGGGTAAAGCACCCAAAGCCTGATAGCGCCCCCAACCCCGCACCCCCGCAAGCACCATACCGGCCAACGCGCCAGATCGCTGGTTCCCTGGACACGCTCGCGCGCAATCAAGACGCCCGCACCGCAATCAAAAGATAGCGCTGCGAAAGTAAAATGATAGTGCGGGGTAAAGCCTGATAGCCCGCAAACGACCCCGCAAAGTCGGAACCGAGCGAGCGAGAGAGAGAGCGCGCGAGGAACCGCGCTCGTCAAGCTGCGTCGCGTCGTCGCAGCAGCAGATGCCCACAATAAAGAGAAAAATAGAAAGAAAAACAAGACTCACTTGCACCCTCCCGTACCACCACCGAGCGGCGCCGACCCGGGCCCGCACGCGATCTTGCGGCCGCGGCAGAATAGGCAGCTGCGAAATAGAGGTTAGTTCGAGAAATAAATAAGCGGCAAGGAGGAAGATGAGAGAGAAAGGAGAGCACAATAGTAGAGAGAGGGGAGCAAGGAGGGGGAGGAACGCGTGGTCGCAAGTAAGACGAGACGCGGAAGGCAGTGGGAACAAGCAGGACAAGGTAGAAGGGTAGATAGAAGAGATATGAGAGGACGAAGAGGGGAAGGGCATATGAGAGGACGAGGAGGGGAAGGAGGTAGGGACGCGCAGAAGGGTAGGGAAGGGCAACGAGCGAGGCGGGGAGGCAGCGCGAGGCAGGGAATAGGAAGTTGGCGCAGCGGTGGGCGTATGAGAATGCGAGGGTAGCAATGAAGGGCAGAGGAAAGTAGAAAGTAAGGCGAACGCGAGGCGGGGTAGGAGTTAAGAGAATAAAGGCAAACGAAAGCGCAAGCAGAAGAAAAGAACACGTACGCCAACGGCGGCTTCTTCGGCGCGCCCCCAGCCCCAGCTGCCCCTTGTGCTGTCGAGCTCGACGACTGCAAAAGGTTGGTTAGCGTCGTGAAGTAGACTGAAGAGAATCGAGACACACCTTCCGCCTACTCGCGCCCTTCTCCCCCTTCACTGTCTCCTTTGTCGTCCCTGCCCGTTCACGCTGCTTCCCCCCTCTTTCGCGCTCGGGTGAACGACTATGACTATGTCGTTTACTGGTGCTGGGGGACAGGGGCGAGAGCGACAAAGCACGCTTGCCGTTCGCATTCGGCTCTTCCTCCCCACCCTCGCTCCCTGGTTCCTGTTCCCCGTCCTGGTCTTCCTCCTGTTCCCCATCGCTCCCCTCCTCCTCGCTAAGATCACTCTCCTCAGCACCCCCTTCCACAGTGGTATCCGAGGGCAAAGACGAAGAAGCCCCCGCAGCCGCCTCCCTCAACGCAATAACGCTCGACACGAGCGGACTCGCGGGGTAGTACCCGCTGCGCCGCTTCGGGGGGGCGAGGCGCCGGTTGGCGCGGGCGGTGCCGCGTCTCCTACCGCTGGCCAGTTCGCGTTGGTGATCAAGGGCGGGTGCGAGGGGCAGGGGGTGGGAAGGGTTGGGCGCGAGTGGGTGCTGGTGTTGGTGGGAATGTGGATGGGGATGGGTATGGGGCGCGTGCTCGAGGGGCGAGAGGGAGGAAGACAGTGAGGACGAAGGGTGCGGAGGCTCGAGCGGCGACAACGAATGCGCATGTGGATGCGAGGAGGACGAGGCGGCGTACGGCGGGTAGACATACGGCACGGCGGTCGGGTATCCTTGCTGCAGAGGCGGATACGGGAGCGGCAGAGGCGGCGCAGTCGGGACAGCGTACGCGTCGTACCCACCACCATCGTACGCGGGTTGGTAGTACGCAGCGGCTGCGGCCGCCCCTCCATCCTGCATGGGGTAGTTGTCGTTGCCGGTGCCGTTGCCAGTGCCGAACGCGTCCACGGGGCTCCCGCTCGCGGCGCTGCTGTAGGAGCCGTCGCTGACCGCGCTCAGCGGCGGCGGCGTGCCGTAGGTCGCATAGGAGGAGGAGGTGGAGGCGGCGGCGGCGTCGGGGTCGGGGTTGTAATCCGGGGGCGGGGACGCGCTGTGTGTGTACGCGGGGGTGCCAACCTCCTGCTGCTGGCCAAGACGCAGCGCGAGCCTTGGTGGTTCCTGCGAGGCGGCGGATGGCCAAACGCTAGGCAAAAACGCCCACCCCTGCGGGTCGGGGTACGCATACTCGCCCCCCTCGAAGCCGTACGCCAACAGCGGGTGCGCGTCATGGAGGGGCTCGACGACGAGGCTGAGCTCTGGGGGGGCGAACATCCTCGCATGCTCCGCCTCGACTTGCTTCGAGCGCGGGGACGGGCGGGCGTCGGGGAAGGTAGCATAGAAGAGGTCGTCGTGGTGTGCCATAATCTCCTCCATCTTCATCCTTGGGCGTGCTAGCACTCGTCCTAGTCAAGGGGTGGCCGTATATAAGCGCATCACCTGTCCTGCCTGCCCACACCCAATCCAATCTCAGATTCGATTCCTGGTTCTTCGCC